ATATAACTTTTAAAATAGTAAGTTGTAAATGTTTATACTTAATAAGTAGCAACAAATTACAAACTTTGTAAAGTACTTTTATCACTCAAAACCAAATTATGAGTAATCCACCATCTCAGATAACCTCTTTTTGAAGTGATAATCAACATTTTTTTCTAACAATATTGAATATTTAAGTTATATATTGAAGGATAACCGATAAATCACGTTCAGAATTCTCCTTACCAAACCAATTAAATATTAAAATCTAATTAGTTATTTCAATCTATATGCAAGTAATGTAAATGTTGTGAACTAAATTATCTAACATTTAAATAGTAATTATACATTACCAAGTTAAGAAATTTAAACATTTATTATGTAGGTATACACATAAAGTTATCTAAGAAGATTTTATGTTAACCACAGTCAATAGCCACAGAAAATTAATACTGTACAGCAGCATTTCCCAACCCATAGACTGCRGATAACATGATACTGGTCTGCGGAAGCTGGTCAAGAGTCTAATTCAAGGGTTGGAAAATGTTGATTTATCCTGATTGACTTTAACATAGAAATATGATTTTACTAACGTTAATATGCCTGGTTCACTGAAATTAAAGATAAAATCCAATGGATCAGAAATCCTTACAAATTAGTTTATGTCTAAACAATTGAAAATATCACCAAGAGGACTCGTTGATTGATCTGACTAGACTCTAAAATAATGTTTTATAATAAATTAATAACACCATTGGTCTTGCCTGGACAGTATTCTTCACGACTATTCTTCAGCAATCACTAACCAAAATGATACAGAGACACTTGATGGGATTTTCGACAACCTATTTTATGTGACGAGACATTTCAATTTTTATTGAAATAAATTGTGTGATATGTGGCTAAAACTTTTTGGTTTTAAACGGATATTGACTCTCTCATGGAAGACAATATCAAAAATCGCATTGACATTTTAACTTTGGCAATTTGTTTTTTAAGTTGAATACAATTAAACTCAGAGCCGGATTGGGTAGTCTCGGCTCTTCGAGAAATATTTTTCAATCTGCCCGTAATTTGCTATAGTAGCCCATATAGGACAAATTTTAATATTAATAAATAATAATGACTTTATCAGGTTTGTTGACTGTACACTATTATATAGCTGTAATTAAAATCATAACATGGGCATTGTAGCAAATTTCTCATACCAATCTAAAATTGAAGCGGCCTTTTGAGATTTTAACGATAATACATTTTAATCTATAATTTCTAAAATTAGAGTGAATTTATCTTTTATACAATTTAAAAGCAAGAATATTATAAAGGGCATTTTGGAGAATTTTGTGGGCATTGTTATTTTTAAGTAAGTTATGACCAGTTTTAAAATTTTTTTTTTGTACATTTCAAAATGATCAAAATTTACTTAAAAATAATATCAATGCCTATGCAGTGTTACTCTTTAGATGGTTGTTTAATTGTTCATGTTGGTTTAAGAGTCACAACATTGACTTAACTTCAGGAATGTTTTTAWATTTCATTAGTACTGGTGMATATAATGTTAAGAAATAGAAAAATTCAGAATATATTGCATGTATGTATTTAATTCACTAACTTTAAAATTCCCAACTAAGTATAACAAAATGAATACTATTTAAACAACATAAATGTAATAAATACTTAAATAACTTATGAATATAATATTAAATTGCTTTTATATTTTAATCATTGAAAATAAACAATTGGTATTAAAAATTGGAAGATTTTAAATCAGAGATTCATAATATTACCAGGAATAAATGGGAAATGGAATCATTAGTTATTTTTTTATTCCTATACATGTCTAAAAACATTATAATTCCTGATTTAAAACCAATTTTATCTATACTTATCTATAATACTACTACATTCAATACATTGTGAATTAAATAAATACATACACTAAAAAKACTTATAAATAAAGTTCAAAATCAACACGTTTAAATGAATGAAAATCACTATTTGAATTACATTTACGTACCCAAATGGGTTCCTTAAATTTATCTTCTACTTTCCATTTCTGCATTTGCTCAGTATTGTATGGACCAAACACTTCATTACTTTCTAATGAAAATTTATATTCCCACTGTAATGATTCTCCTAATAAAGTTGTCAAAGTTTGAAGAAGATATTTAAATATTATCTATTGATGGTTTAAAAAAAATATTTTTATAAGTACCTGTCAATAGTTCTTCTGATTCTTCTGGTTCTTCTTGACCATTCCGGCTTGTACTTTCTAATTTTTCCTTTTCTTTTAAATCAAAATCTTCCGCATACATATCCAAATCTGATGACATAGAAGTTGAAGGTTGTCCTTTCTTATCCGATTTCGAAATCTATACAAAAAATTGGAGTACTATTTAGTGTTTTGATCAATATTTAAAACTCTTATGTACAACATTATTTAAAATAGTAGTAAAGATAATTGTTTCTCAATTGTCAATTGTAATTAAAATATAAAACTTTATTTTTTCCAAGCGTTAAATTGATTTATATGATGATAGTATGCAGTTTAAATTGTACACTACACTTGTAGACTTACATTACCTTGTCGTCACCAGTATTTAGAACATTCAATAAAAAATATCAATTCATTCATGTTTACATTTAATGTGTCACTCTTTAAATTTTTTAAYAATAAATATTATAATAAGAAAATATTACTTTATAATATAATTAGATTTTTAAGCATATATTTATTAAATGGTAAATAAATTGAGAGTCTTAAAAAACGTTCAAATTCATTAAAATATAAATGTTGTTCAATTTGAAAAAATTAGTAAGTGCGGTCATAAATCAATCAACAATCTTTCCAAAAACTAATCATGACAGGAACCTTATTAACTAATAATATGCAATTTTGGTTATGTTTTATGAATTAAGAGGACATGATACCCGCATGTGTTGTCTCCGTCTTTCAAGTGCGTAACATACCAAATTGTACACTAGGTAGAACACGCGTAGCTCTGTTAAAATTTAGAGTGAATAAACCTCTAATAAAATTTAAAGGTAAGATTATTATCTAGCRCTTCTCATAGGCTTTTTATTATATTTTAATTTTAAAGCAAGCAATGAATATTTTAAGAGATACAAACAGTTTACAAATTTTAAAATGTTTATAACTCTTTTTAAAATTAAAATATAATAAAAAGCCTATGAGAAACCCTTTTTATAATCTTACCTTTAAATTTTATTAGGGGTAAATTCACTCTAAATTTTAAGCTAAAAGAGCGACACGTGATCTGCTCACCATAAAAATTGCTATATTACGCACTTGTAAGATGGTGACAACACATGCGAGTATCATCCTCTTAACAAAAGCAACAAATTTCAAATTTCAGATATTAAGTATATAATAAATTGTATCACATTTAAAATTTATTGTCTTAGTTTATTTAGTTTATATCACTTAAATAAATTACAAGTTACATTCTTGTTTAAAATTTGAACTTATAAATCAATTTTTCTCAAAACTACAAATGTAAAAAAGTAGTGAGGCTCTAAAATTGAATTATTTTTAAAAATATTAAATTAAAGAAAATTAAAGTTTCAATAATAAACCACATACTTTAAATACAAAAATTTACCAGAAACCACATGACTTTTCTAAAATCTGTATGCAACCAATCTGGTAGATAATGTATACATTTTTAATTTAATAATGGCTTTAAATTGTATAGTAATGAATAATTTTATTAATACTATAATATTAATTACAACTCACAAAAGTGTTTTAACTGTTATAAATTTGACGAAAATATTGTTATCTTATAAATTACGAGCAAAATAAACTAAGAAAAAAGCTTACAATTTGAGAAATCTGCTCATAAGTTTCTTGATAAACATCCATGTTGCCATTAGTTGTTAAAATTTGATTAGCAAGCTCTGTAAGTCTAGTTACTTTTGAAGACGAACCTTCATCAGTGCTCAATCCTGCCTTTTTCAATTTCCACCTTTCAGCAGTTGTAAGTCGTTTGTTTCCACCTAAACGCCTCAATGATTTTGAAATGGTTTCTTTGGGCTCCATCATGCTTATGATTTCTTTATACCCAGCAATTACATTAAATTCTACATTATCCTCTACGTTTTCATCAGCTTTTTTCTCTTTTGACATATCTTTAATCTAAACAAACCAACAAATTACACAAGCTAATATGACAAGTGTATGAAACTATTATGTATTCTGTTTTATTTACTTTACACCAATCAATATTCTCTAGCCAATTGTCCTGTACATCTTTTTCTTTTTTCCAATGATACATTCCTTCTTTATCAAAGTGCCCTTCTTCGAGTTCTTCTTGCATATTAAAAGGTGTGATTCGTATCTCACCATCTTGTCCAACAACTCCTTCTTCTTGGCCTAAAAGGAATAATAATACAATTGGTCATAAATTATGCAATACGTCCTAAAGTTGAACTATTCAAATTGTTTTCAACATTAAAAGGATAAAGTCACACATTGGTATGCCCCTTGTTTATTATATTTCATGCATAAACTATAATGCAGTAAGAAGTTACCTTCAATATCTTGCTCTTGCATTACATCATAATTATTTTCATCAACACTGTCATCATCGTCTTCTTCAGAATCGGCTATATTATTTAACTTTTCAAACTTATTCTGTTGGAAAATCTCTTCTTCTATTTTTCTTTTATTC